CATATCATGAATGAGGTTTGGACATACTGGTTTGAACACTACACTATTCATGATAGGGAAACATAATACAGGGAAATGTGACTAATGTGGAGAAGAGGAAATTATAGAACATGTTATATTGCACTGTCAGAAGTATCAGGTGGAGAGGAGACAATTGATCCAAAACCTCAGTAACATAAAAATGAAACTGGATCTTATTGATTTATTGCAAAATGAATCTGGAAGTAAATTTTATCAGACATTATTTCAGTTTCTAAAAGAGGGAAAATGGTTTGGAAGGATTTGAGGGTTCTTTTGTTTGTTTATGTTTTTTGTTTTGTTTTTTAAGCGGCGTTCCAGTTTACACTCCATACCAGTTGGTGGCAGCAATGCACCATTCAGTTGTTGCCAACAGCCAATAAAAGAGAAGAAGAACAACACCGGAAATCGTAAACAAAACGAACAGTTTCTGTTGTGGTGCCATTTACGCCCTATAGCTGTAGAAATTCGTTTAACTTTTAGTCTACTAACTTTTTCTATATTTGGGATAGTTTTTCTGGTGTTTCAAAATTATCCACAGTCATTTTGACTTTTATTTAGCCTGAGAGCTAAGCCGGAGGATAGCTTCTATAGCCATAAGCGCTAACTTTAAGAGACCTGTCGGATTCTTTTAAATATGTCAGCATCAGAGTGTGTGTGGTTGTGTATCGCCCTTCTGATACTATCTGCATCAGCTGAAGGTGAACCCGGTAAGGATACTAATGCTAATTTTTAGTTTACAGATATAAGTATAAGTTTGTAGTCAGACCCAGCATTCATACTACTTAGCTAACTTAGCACATAGCTAGATACTACATGCTTTTATGTTTTACTATGTTTTAGTACTTGTGCAAATATATCTGTATACTTTTGAAACTTTACAGAATAAATTTCTGGGGGTAATAATAGATGAAAAACTTAACTGGAGAGCTCACGTAAGATATATTCATTCCAAAGTATCACGTAGCATTGCAATACTAAACAAGGCAAAGCAGGTATTCGACAGAACATCACTTCATATTCTCTACTGTTCACTGGTTTCACCATACTTAAGCTGTTGTGCAGAGGTCTGGGGCAATAACTATAAAACCACATTACATTCACTTTTTACTCTTCAAAAAAAGCAATTCGAATCATCCACAATGCAGGTTATAGGGAACATACAAACTCACTATTTTTGCAGTCTGAAATATTGAAAATTGACGATCTAGTGAAATTCCAAACAGCACAAATTCTATTCAAAGCAAAAAATAAAGAACTGCCAGGTAATATTCAGAGTATGTTTTGTTTTGTTTTTTTTGAAAGAAGGAAGTTATAATTTAAGGGATTTTTGTAACTTCAAAACAATGAAGGTCCGTACGACAAGAAAATGTTTCTGTTCATGGAGTGAAACTATGGAACAGTCTGAATATGGAATTAAAGCAACGTCCAAACATAAAACTGTTCAAAAAGAGTTATAAAAATATGATCTTCTCAAACTATAAAGAAAAGGAAAATATTTAAATTAGGTGAATGTCTCTATTTAAAAAAAAAAACAAAACAAAAAAAAAACTCATGATGTGATATTATAGTATATAGTATATCAGAAATCTGTTCACTATTTTTATTACAAATTATATCAGTAAGGAAGCTGACTAAATATTAACTGATAATTTATGACAAAGGGGTGGGATTAAATAAGTTCTTCCCACTCCCTTTCAACATTTAAATTAATCAGAACGTTTTTTTGTATGTAATTTGTATAGTATTTTTTCTGCCTCTTATTTTCTTTTCTAAATGTGCATATATATTGTTCACATGTTGAAATAAATTACCAATCAATCAATCAATCAATCAATCAATTTTTAAATAAGTGGCTTTCTTTTTTGTCACTAAAAACTCAACTTTAAAGGACAAATTTTGCTTAAAAATGGCTGCCTGTGGCTCAGTTTTATTCCACAACTTAGATATCCGCATTATTCACACTCTCATAACACATACATGTAGGACGTTGGGGGTGGGCACGCTACATGGCACTCAGAAGACCGTCAGAGTGTACAACCTCACCTCTGGCCGGTGCCCACGTCTCAATTTTAAATACATGTAGACATTGAGGGTTCTCGGGAGGGGCTGTGCGGTAACCTACTGCTTTGTGGCAGGTATCACCATGCCGTTTTACATGCACCTAGAACACACATGCAACAACACTACATATGAGTGGGCAGAGGGAGGTTTGGGGTCTTCATACACCCCCGTTCTCTTCCCTGCTGTTTCCCTGTTTTTTTCTTTTCTTTCCCTCCTTCTCTTTCTTTCTCCTTTCTTTTCTCCCAGTCATGTCTGGCTGAGAAATATTTTAACGAGAGGTGTCCTTTCTAAGCCTCCTTACTTAGTTTACAACTTAACAACATAACTGACCCCCTTAACAAATGCAACAGGTTGCATTTACAATTGAAAGCGACTTTGGATGCAAAGCAGTAATACAGTAGTATTATGGCATTTTTATACCTAAAAGTTCCAAAATCATATGCACTGTAAACTTCTTACAAAACAAATTTCAGACCACTATTCAGGGAAGTCAGGCAAGTCAGTAATTCTATTTTTATCTACACCTGTAGAAAAGGACAGTGAACTGTTTCTGTAAATGGAATAAAAATGTAACAAATTTTAAACTAGTCTGCTTTAAATAGATCTGGTCTCATTGCTTAAATGTACTTTATCATAATTATTTCTAAAAAAAATAATAAATTAAAAAAAAAACAAATTAAAAAAAAAAAACAGTAGCCTGGCTGCTGACTAACATGCATGTAACTAGGGGTGGGTTTTGTTTATCGATTTATCAATTAAAATCGATTCTAGCTTGGATAACGTGATATCAATTCATTAAAATCCTGAATCTATTTTTAAATATAAATCTATTTTTCCCGAAATGCCAGAATCTCAGGTTAAACCTCACAAAATTTCAACAACCACCAAACAGCTAAAACAGTAAATGAGAGCAGGTACACGGATTCTGCACAAAGATGTAAATGGTTTGCGTTTACATCTTTGCATAAACGCAAAGATTACGCAAAGATTACTTTTTGCGCTAAATTCTGAAGCTGCAGGTTTTTATCTCTCCAAACAATATTGACTGAACCAGCAGCAAAAGAAGATCCAAACTACGCTTCACATAAACATCGTCATGAATTCCCTCTTAGTTTTGCTGTTTTGCTTCCACCACGATAAAAATCACACTTCATGCAAAGCTCGCCCTCTCTCTCTCTATCTCAGGCCAGGAGAGTCGCCTTTATGTTTTTCTGTGTTTTATCCTCAGTTACTTTGACACAAAGGCATCTGCTGTGATGCTTACACCTTTGATAAAGTCTGGCAAGTGTCAGCTTTCTTTTTATATATACAAAAATATGGAGATGTACTGATATGCGATCAGAATTATAATATTTCTTACTGTCTGAGGCAAAATTTCCCCGATTTGAATCGAATCGTGGATCGAATCGATTCGGGACCTTGTGAATCAGAATCGAATCGATTCTAGAAATCTGTGACGATACCCAGGCCTACATGTAACCTGTTGTTTCAGAGCAATGGAACACCATTGCTTACCATTCCCATTTGTTACTCATCATGATTAAAAAATGTTTTGTCCTTCAGGTTCAGGAATCAAAGTAGTTGCATCAGAAGGAAGTGACATCATCCTACCCTGCTCACTCAGCACCAAGGAGAACATTGAACAAAAGCTGTTTGACTGGAAGAAAGTTGGTCCAAATAAACAGGAGGTGTTCATGTACGATGCTGGCACTCATTACAATAATGGCCGTCCAGGTCAAGACAAGAACTTCAATAGACGGGTCTCACATTTTCCACTAGAGCTGCAGTTTGGTAACGCCTCCATAGTAATCAGAAACACCAAGATGAATGACAGTGGAGACTACATGTGTGTTTTTCCACGTCTGCAGCCAGAACAAACATTCAACATTCAACTTGTTGTTGGTGAGTATTTTAGTTTTGAAGCATCCTGAAAAACCCTTCTCTAAGAACTCATATTTTTTAATTGTTCTTTAAATGTTGATGTTGTTTTCTCCACTCAGTTGTACAGTCATGTGAAAAAACAAAATACAAATTCACTCCTTATACACTATTCTAAATTTTACATGTCAGGACATAAAAAATAATTGGCTCCTTAGCCGGTATATGCAACCTTTCGACGAACAAAAACACGGGATGTATTACACAGTTTCATATAAATTTATCCAATGCTCATCAGCAAGTGCGAGCATCTCTGTGAAAGCAGATGTTTTGGCAGTTTGCTGGAGGTGCAGCAAACAGATTTTTCCTGATGTGTCCTTAAAGACACATTCTGAAAAGCAAAAATAAGTGTGTATTTTTTCACTGTGGATCAGTCTTTTAACATTTTAAGGTTTTCAGGACTTGACAAAATTGTCAGGTCCTTAGCAGGTATATACAACCTCAGATAAACAAAAGCCCAGGACACATTACACCATGTCATTATTTATTTAATAAAAATAAAAACAAAATGCAGAAAATGTTGAAAAACTAAGTCCCTCTGTTATCGACTAGCTTCTAGAAAAACCTTTAGCAACAATACTTTAACTTGTTTTCTGTGTGACTTTGAGTCTGTCACATCATTCTGGGGTCATTTCAATCCACTTCTTTACAGTATTGCATTAGTTCATTGAGGTTTGCAGGTGTTTGCTTATGCACAGCTCTCTAAAGGCTCCCACACAGGACTTCAGTTATGCTGAGGTCGCCTCAGTGACTGCAAGGTACTGTACTATGGCGCAAGTTCAACCAGGGTATGTTTATGTTATCTGGACTCACTTAGTGAAACATTGATACTGAGGATAAGGTGCCACAGAAAGATTTGTAAGCTGCTAAATTAACCCAAGGTTTCTCCTGTGGGTTCCCATGCTTTAGTTGCATCTGAACAATTACAGTTATAGAACCAAAGGAAAATAAAATTTTAGTATTAGAAGATTTAAAAGTTTTTAAACGGTTATTACAGAGTGAAAGCAACACTGCTGCTGGAGACAAGTCAGCAGCTTAGTAGCAAGTGTGAGAGGAACAGTACTTATTATTGATTATTACTGATTACTAAGACTGGACAAGATCTACTATATCAATAAAGTTTGGCCTACATGAAGGCTGGAAAGAAAGCAGACCATGTATGGGTTTTTTTGTTGTTGTTTTTTTTTTTAAGTTAAATAAAAAATTAAATGAATTACAAAAGTTATATTTGATAATTCTGATATCAAGACAGTAGAACCTGATAAATTATACTTAGTATTTCATTGATTTAACATTTAAATAACAATTTCATTACAAATTCAAATTTGCACGTAGACTTGGATTACATGTGAAATGGGTATAAAGGCTACCAGTGTAAATGGCGCCTCTGCTTTAGGATTATAAATTCAAGTCTATCGAACATAGACAACAGGAAAACATGAATGAATTAAATTCAGTTTAAGATTCTATTTTTAATGAGGATGCTCTTGAGCTACAAATCAAGGTAGTCTGCTGTGTGCCCTAGCAAGAAGTGAATCATCATCGTAACTAGGGCTGTGCAATATGACCAAAATCTTATATCCCGACATAAGATATCTATCGTAACAATAACGATATAAAACACAAAAATGTAACATTTTCTGTAAATTCTGTGAATCTCGGGCAACTTGAATTGCGTGAAGTGTTTCCAGCTGGGCGTCGTGTAGCTGGAGTAACCGATGCATGAAACGATACATTTTTAGACATAAGTTGTAACAGCCGCCGTTTTTTGTGAGAATTTATTACACGGCGTGCTGCGGGGAAAAGCCTGTTCTAACGTTTGAGTCTAAGGTTTATTTTTTAGCACCTGGCGGCTCTTTTTTGCTTCTCATCCGTAAATAATCTGCTCTTTCACGTGATTCCGTTTATTTTGAAAAGTCTCAACAGGATCTTGAGCTTTATTGTGAAAGGTTTATGTGGAACATAAACAAGCGGACACGCCATGGTTTTACAGTCGTTGTTGCTAACGACAACGCATAAAAACAAGCACTTGTCTGTCTGTAGTGTGGTTATATTAAATATAAGAGAAAGAGAGAACTTTAAGAAATTAATATAGCCACTACAGTGACCATCAAAACCATGAAAAAATATTGCCGTAAACAGTTTATTTTTGTGACACTGCCAAACAAACACTCTTTCCTCTTTGGCACTTTGTTATTACACACCTGAATGCTTCAGACCAGCAAACTGCCAAAATGTCTGCTTTTAGAAAGGTCACATTTGCTGATGATTGGTTAATTAAGTGCACTTGATTAGCAGCACCTGGCTCTCACTGAATTCCTATGGAAACAGTAAGGGTGGACTTAGTTTTTCTACATTTTTGTTTAGCTTGTGTTGAATAAATGATATGGTGTAATATGTTGCCATGATGATCATCTGAACTTATAGTTGCCTACAAGGACCAGATGATTTTTTAAAAAAAAAAAATTTGTCATGCATAAAACCTTACAATTGAGTGACTACGTTAACTACAACTTAATGATCCACTGTGGAAAAAATGCTTATTATTTGCCTTTCAGAGCGTGTGATCAGAGACCAATTTGGAGATATTCCAGGTGAGCAATGATGCTGCTGTCTACATCTATAAGCTGTGTAGCTGCACATGTTAGCCTCAGCATCTATCAAACATGTTTAAACTTGCCATGAGCAATTTATTTAAATATCAATGAGATCTGTGGTTCTGTCAGTAATGACAGATAAGGAGAAATCTGTGCTGAACCTCACTATTGCTGTTTATTGTTGTTGACTTTAAGACTGACACAGCATCAGACCTTTTTTTTTAAATATGTGAATATATATACAGGCTGTTGCTGAAAGTGTTGTGGCATACATGGTATATCATCATTCTGTTGCAGCGTTTGCAAGTTATGTTTAAGCAAACACACATGTGATTCTCCTGCACTATAACGACCTGAGCGCAGCATGTTGCTGTGTAGCTAACTAGGGCTGCCACAAACTATTATTTTGATAGTCAACTAGTCACCAATATTTTTGCGATTAGTCACCGAATTAGATCGTGCATCCATTGGACATAAAATGTACAACTTATTCCACCAGCATGCTTCTGCTCTTGTATAACTATCATTAGCTTACAGCTTGAAGTGTTTAAACCTTTAATGAAATTTGCAGTTTGTCGCGGTGGAGTTTTATAAACTCAGCCATCTGCTCTTTACTATGTAAAATATAACAGGACACTGGCGTAAATTCTCGACCATCTCACACTTCTGTTTAATCGGTTTTCTGTTTGACGTTTATTCAGCTGTGTGATTAATTATAACTCAGCCAAACTGATTTACTCACGAACAAATAAAACACTGAAAAAAGCCAAACAATAACATTTTAAAGTTATTTTTAAGTTACTTCTTATCATGTTTAGCCTTAGTAGCAAAAGACCGTGGGGGGTCGCTGTTCTCGTTGGCTCTAGTGAGCCTTGACCACCCGGTCAGCGCCGTCTCCGAAAACATGAGAGCACTTTTGCAAATATGTGATGTCTTGATAAATTGAGCAAATATTTGAAGTTTACACAGCGACATTGTCGTGTGAAAATATCTTAAAAGTTTATTTTGTGACCCAGAAAAAGTAATATTACAACTAAGAAACTGCCGCCATTGTTGGAAACTGGAATTGGCTGGGCCGTGAAATAAATTCTAGGATAGGTTGGGCACGAAGCATACACTCAACCCATCCTTCAAATCTGGGGAAAAGGAGGACGCATTTGGAGGAGTCTTCGACTTTGGACAGCCTTCGTTGCCTTGCTGTCACATAATCAGCCTACAAATGCGGCCTCCGAAGGATGCGGTCCCTGAATTTGGACACAGCTATGATACCAAACACAGCTTCTTCTTCTTCTTTGGCGTTTAACGGCACCTAGCATCCATGTTGATGCATTGCTGTCATCTTCTGTTTCAGTCCGTTATTACACTTGCCTACAATTAGGCTACGTCCACACGTACACGGGTATTTTTGAAAACGGAGATTTTCCATTTTCGTTTTAAAAAATAATCCCGTCCACACGTAAAGGAAGAAATGAAGGAAAACGCTGCTAAGAACATGCCAAAGCAACAGGTGACGCTATATTCCTAACCGTGAAGAAATGTTGGCCAATCAGAAGTCTAGAAGCCTCGGTGGGAAAAAGTAAACAAGGATGGGGCATAGAAGCAGAACCGAGTCGTATGTGTGGAGGGACAGTAACTGTGTGTGTATATGTAAGCATTTAAACGCTGCAGAGACAATTAACAGTAACAGTATTGTAGAAATTCATTTCACCGAAACAATAACGTGGTGCACAGTGTGACGTCAAAAAATGCGCACACCTTTAACGCTGCGTTTTCTGCGTTTTTCTCGTCCACACGTAAATGCAAAAACTGAGTTTTTAGAAATCTCCGTTTTCAGTGACCAAAAACGCCGTTTACGTGTGGACGAAAGGTGCAAACGCATAGAAAAATCTGCGTTTTCAAAAATACCCGGGTACATGTGGACATAGCCTTAGTCGTCGACGATTTTGATAGTCGGCGTAATCATGTCTAGTCGACTAATTATGGCAGCCTTATAGCTAAGTTATGTTGTTTATGCTCGATGTGTCACTTGTGTTGTGTGCCGATTTTCACATCATCTGTCGCACAACACTATCTTTGTGGCATGTCAGCTGCTCGTTCACCTCAAGATTTTGTAACTAACTATGTAACCGCATCTGGGTTAGGGACACAAGTGTACGATCTTGTTTTCACAACCCTTTTAATAATGTTTTAGCACAGACACTCAGAGACATACAGATACACAGACGGAGATTTTGGAACAGTTTGAAAACTTGAGTTTTTGGAAAAAAACTTTGCACAACACACTCGACAAAGTCTTGGCTTCTGATTTTGACAACTTCTCCTCCTATATCAGTGCTTATGTGGTGATATTGTCTGAGTGTTCACACCTATCATTCAGGAGAATACCACAACGGCTTGTGCCATTATGTTTTTCTGGACATTTTATTGCAATCAATCCCCCCCAAAAAACTAAAAATTAAACTACATCTGTTGCCTTAACCACTTCTATCGAAACAAGCACCTAAAATGTTCATTTAGGCTTTTTGAACAGCCTCAAGAAGCTTTTGTGTTGCAGAAAGTCAGAGTTTGAGTGTGAGAAGTGTTCTTTCTTGATAGCTACTGCAGCTGCTATGCTAATATTGTCTCTAATGTCACTGTTAGTTTTGTTGTTTATGAGGAATTTGTGAGGTGCTGGAATTGAATCGTTTCCTAAATATGTTTATAAATATGTTGTTCAGTCTCAAGACCAATTACCATTTGCACAACAAATAGTAATTGGAAGAGATCACACTTTTTTTTTTTTTTTTAAATTAACCTCCTAGGACCTGGCGTCCACATATGTGGACATCACATTTTGGGTTATTTAGACCAAAATACTCAATTTTGCTCTACACGGGCCTGATATCCACTTACGAGGACATTATACTGCTACTGTTCTATCAAAATTTTTAACGAATATCCTCATATGTGGCTCTTATTTTTTTTAAAAAAACAAAAATAAGGTTAAAAAAATCTGGTAATTCTTTGTTTTTACATTCATCGGGCCCCAATATGCCCAAATATCAAAGAGAAATTAAAAATGCATGCTCTGGAAGAGTTCGGGTCTTAGCAGGTTAAATGTACAGTGGGACCCCGACTTACAAATACCCCATTTAACAAAAAATTCAAGTTACGAAGTCACTGAATGGCAATATTTCTGCCCGTGTTACGTTGTAGTAC